AGAGCTATCTTCTCCAGAGTTACGGCAGCCAGAGCTATCTTCACCAGAGTTGCGGCAACTAGAGTCACGGCACCAGGAGTCACGGCAACCAGAAGTTACGGCAACGAGGAGTCACGGCAACCAGGAGTTACGGCAGCCAGAGCTATCTTCACCAGAGTTACGGTAACCAGAGTCACGGCACCAGGAGTCACGGCAACCAGGTGTTACGGCAACCAGGAGTTACGACAGCCAGAGCCATCTTAACCAGAGTTACGGTAACCAGAGTTCCAGCAGCCAGAGTTGTCGGGACCAGAGTTACCAGACAGAACAGGTAAGACTTGTCTTTTTGGTAACGAGCAACGACAGTTTATGAAGACGTGAAAGCCATTCTACTTCATCGATTTCACTCGCATGACAGGCCTCATGTCAGTGTTGTTGAGATCTGCATTCTCCGAAAACTTCCGGGATTGGAAACATGCGGCCTTGTGAAGGACTGTTGCATAGGGCATGGTGTCGTTCTGGTAGTGTGTTTGGGACCTGGTGTAAAACCCAAGTATGTCTCAAAAGAGACAGAAGTGTCCCACTTGCGATATTCGGGGCTATCAATGTCAGGAGCCTGTCCCACAGTCAGTCCCAAGAGGGTCAGGACTCAGAAGTGTCCCAAAGGCCCATAATGTTCCCAAAAAGAACAGAAGCGGCTTTTGGGACATGTGTCTCAAAAGGGACATAGAAACGGCCTTTGGGACAGAAGAGTCCCAAAAGGGACAAGCGGACTACGTGACAGGAGTGTCCCAAAGGCCCATAGAAGCGGCCCTCGGGACAGAAATGTCCCAAAAGAGACATGCAAGCGGACTTTGGAACAGAAGCCTCCCAAGCGGGGCAAGAAGCGGCCTCCAGGACAGAAGTGTCCCTTTTGGGACAAAAGTGTTTCAAGGGTTCAGAAGTGTCCCAAAGGCCCAGGAGCATCCCGGAAGGCCCCAGAACGGTTGCCAAAGGGAACAGCGGGGTCCCAAGGAGATGGAAGTGTCCCGAAAGGGTGAGAACTCTGTTCCCAAGAGGGCCAGAAGTGTCTCGAAAGAACGAGAAGCCTGTTCGTTGGGGGACTGTGTATGGCTTCAGCCACAAGGGGCGTGCCCTCTTTTTTTTCCATGTGACTTTTTTTGCCCATTTTTTGAATATGGGATTTTATGTTGTGAGGTAGTCCAGCGGCCGTTGGATGGCTGCCAGGTCAGCGGGCACTTTTTCAACCTTTTTTTTTTTTGCGTTTGCAAAAGTGGTCACTGGTAGTGGT